TATCTTCTCTTTGCTTTCTTTTTTTTCCCCCAACAGCTGCGCAATTTTACCGACAATGCCCTGGCAGGTGGGGCGTCACCCCTCCCCTTTAGCGACGCCCCTGGTTGTTATCCCATTATTCTTTTATAAGAAATGCAATTCCTCATGCTCTCGCCCCTCTATAGCGTGTTTAATTCTCTTTCATATTTTTCCTTTCTCCTTTAACTCACACAAATTCTCTCTTTCCTCCTTTTTTCCATTTCCTTTTCCCCTCTACTCGATCCGTCTTTCCCCCTTTCTTCCTTTCCGCTTTTTTTTTCTCCTCTCTCTTCCCCTTTCTTATTCCCCTCCTTTTCTCCTCCCTCTTCTTCTTTCTCTCTTCCCTTTTCTTTCTTTTCCCCTCTTTTTTCTTTTTCTCCCTTTTCTCTCCCCTTCCACTTTCCCTTTTTTTTTACGGGGGGGGGGGGAAGGGGGGCACGTAGCCCCTTTGCCCCTGAATCCGCTACTGGTTATTAGAAAAGAAAAGTGTGCTCGTGTCAAAGTAAAAAGGGCAATTATCCGTGCCTTTAGAGGTGAACATGGCACTTCTTGCACCTGACAGGGGCACTCAACAGAAATGAAAAGAGGCACTCGTGAGAATCAAATGGGGAAGCTGTTGGGGGAGAAAGGCACCTATCAAGTTTTGATAGGGGCATTTATCAGATGATAAAAGGGGTATTTGAAAAGGAGGAGGGGCTCATATAAAAAAGGAAAGGGGCACTTATCCAAAGGAAATATGGTACTTAATAGAAAGGAAAAGGGGCACGTGTCAAAATAAAAGGGGCACTTATCAGAGGTGACAAGTGGCATATAAGAGAAAGTAAAGGGGGTGTTCCCCCCTCCCCCCCCCCTCCTACCGGGAGTGGCGCCCCTGGCATAATGGTAAAAAATGAGAGAAAAACCCAGAAAATCATGTCATTTCAGCAACATTTGTAAATCACTGGTATCGAATTAGAAATAAAACACGTTTGAATTTTATTTGGGGGTCAACTGCCCCCAAGCCCCCCCCCCCCTCCCCCATTAGTACGCCAGTGTACGTGGCAGTCCCAAATTTAATGAATTGTTGATATCCATGAGTGTACAGCAATAAATAGCTCTTTTACAAATTAATGAATATCACTCACCACTTGCCATGAATTTCATTAAATAATTAAAACTATAGTCAATAAACGTGGAGTTCTTTTGCACTGGCTCACCTCCATATACCCCCGGCCGCGTATTTTTTTTTATTTACACGGCAGCGAGGGGAATTTATCGATTAATTCCAATGAAACCGCTCGCGAAGAGTCTAGACTAGACTGAATCGGAGTACGAGTACCTATAGCAGTGCAGTATGTGCAGTATATTATAAAGGGAATTATACTTAACATGTAGATCTAGAGAAGGAAACGATGAAAGACATCTAAAGGAAAACAAGAAAACAAAATAGATGCCTTATGCAATAAATAATGACGGCATTATGATATTATATGCGACACCATGGCACAGAGAGCGTGAACATAATTTACATGCCCTCGGCCACGTACCAACAACAAAGAGTACATCGACAACACAATTCATATTCAGTACAGGCAGCGTCATTTTTTTTCAGCGGCACAGATTGGGGCTTTAAAAAAAAAAAAAGAGGTCTTGATGTAACCCTATAACCCTAACCCTAAACTTTCCCATAGGCTCAACACGCACCTAACCCCAATCTGTGCCGCAGAAAAAAAATAACGCTCCCCAGACCCCCTCGATTATGACATCACAAACTGCTAATACAATCGATGCGCGCAAGGTTTAGGATGAGCGCGTGACAACAGACACGTCTACTGTCTAGACGTATTGTGACGTCACACTTCTGACATGAAACAAATTTGACCTAATTGAAAAGTGCGCGTCATCCTAAATACAGCGTGCCATGCTTATGCGCAATGAGTACGCATGGAAATTTGTAAACAAAAATGACAAGAAACGTTTTGTTATTTCTAGATCGACTGTGGAAAAACCTCTTTCTCCCACTTCCTTGTAAGAAAGAATAGTCTACGTGCTACGTGTTGATGATTAAAAATGGACGATTAGGTGAGTAGCTATTTTTTTCCCAACAGGAAATAGGAATTGAAAGGTTTACCGCCATCTACGTACTGATGAGCATCTCGATCGAATGGTGATGGTGAAAGTCATTTATATAGGCCTAATATGGTTGTGCATGATGATGATGATGATGTTGATTGTGATGTTTGGTGATGATGATCCATGATGATAACGATGATCGATAGTGATATGATGACGATAGTGATGATTGATGGTAAACCTAATGATGATGATGAGGAGGATGATCATGATCTAATGATTATTCCTAAAAACGGGGAGTAGATCGAGGCCCAGGGGGGCAGGCACGTAGCCAGAGTTTGATGTTGTTGTTGTTTTTGTTTTGTTTGTTGTTGTTGTTTTTTTTTGGGGGGGGGCACATAGATCTATGGAGGGGTGACCAGCAAAGTTCGCGGACATTTTAGAACATATTACAAAATGTGATATTCGATCTATGATTTCTCATATTCTACACAAATTTATTTATTTCAATTATTACCAAATGGACGGCAAAGTTTTTACTACAAATTTGTTCAAATAGAAAATTCATCGTCGAAGGATGCCGGAGATATCGCGATCTAAAAATTCGATGTCCGATCGTGCTTGCGCGCTGCATCAAAAAAGTCATAAAAATAACGAGACCTAAGTTCACGCACGGGGGTTTACAGTTGATTTATCAAAAAAAGCGATTCATAAAAATAAGGTAATATCATAATTTGCAAGACAAGATATCATACAATCAGTTGGTACCACTTTTACTTACAATTTTGAGGAAAATCTGCTCTCAAATTGAAGATTTTCAGACCCTTATCGGTAAGTTGAAAATTTTTTCGGAACGGACGCAAAAGATTGCAAAATTTGCCGATCTGTTGTCATATTTTCACAATTTCGTACCCAATTCCAAAGAAAATTTCAATTTTGAGTAATTTTATGTTCCTCTTGCCATTGGTGATATCAGATTTTCGAAATCTTACTGATTTTCGAGATAGCGAACTTAGGTCATGCGCGAACTTTGGTCACACGTCCATACATGTAATCGATCGAGGTAAAAAAAAAAGGGGTCTAAAAAAGTTCAACCGATCTTGGACATTTTAGGGGGCATGTGCCCCCCCCCCGTGCCCCCCTGTGTCTACGTGCCTGCAGGGGGTGGGGGTATCGTTGGATTCCGGACAGCAGAGGCGGCGGAGCGACTTTCAAAGTGGGGGGGGGGCACCAACAAAAAAGGGCACTTTCTGGGAAAAAAGGGCACCTACAAAGGGAAATCTCAAAGCGAAAATAAACAATTTTTAGACATTGGTATATATCCCTAAAATTTGATTACATTATCAGGGATGATTTCAATATTGTTTCTCTTTATACATCGTATAAAATATTGCTTTTTAAAGCATCATACCTTGCAGTTGGGTGTAAAGGTCGAAAAAATCATTTGCGAGCGAGGAAAAATATAAGATTTGTGAGGTCACAGTGCGAAAACTACATCTTATAAAGAGGAAAAAAACAATCCTCATCGGGTTATAAATAAGCACATTTTCATAACAGCAAACTGAAAAGACCTCTGATAAGTAACATAATTATAACATCTATAAATGTGAGCGAGCGTAGCGAGCGAGCTTTGGGTGATATTGCTCTTAGTCGCTTCAAATTAGGGGCACGTTTAATGATGAGAGGAAAGAGGGACACTTATCGAAGGGAAAAGACACTTATTTGAAAATAAAAGGAGCACGTGTCAAAGTACAAAGGGTTATTATCAGAGGTGAAAATGAGGCACTCACCAGGGATGAAAAGGCACTTATGAGAATGAAAATTGGGCATTTGTCGACGGAAAAGAGGCAACCATCAGATTTTGATAGGGGCATTTATGAAAAAGGGATAGGTTCCTCATAAGAAAGGAAAAGGGGCACGTATCATTGTTAAAAAAAGGTTAATTATCAGAGGTGAAAAGGGGCACTTATCGCACCTGAAAAGGGGCAAACACCATATATAAAAGAGGCACTTATGAGAATGAAAAAGGGGCACTAATAATAAAGGGAAATGTGCATTTGTTGAAAGAAAAGGAGCACCGATCAGATTTTGATAGGGGAATTTATTGGAGGCACGTGTCAAAATAAAAGGGGGTGTTATTAGAGATGAAAAGAGCACTTATCAGGAGGAAAAGGGGGCACTTGTCAAAATAAAACGATTGTCTCTCAGAATTGAATAGGGTCATTTACCAGACATGAAAAGGAGCACTAGTAGGAAAATGAAAAAGGACTATTTTCATAGGTGAAAAGGGGCATTTATGAAAAGGCGAAGGGCTCTTTGTTAAATGGGGGCACTTATTATAAGGAAAAGGGGCACTTATTAGAAAGTAAAGGGGGCACATGTGAAAATATAAGGTGCGCTTATCCGAGTTAAAAAGAAGTAGTTATTAAAAGGGAAAGGGGCACTTCTTACAAAGGAAAAGGGGCAATCGTCAAAGTAAAAGGGGCACCTCTAAGATTTGAATAGGGCAATTATCAAAGGTAAAGGAGGCGCTTAACAAAAGTGAAAAGGGGCACTTCTCGTATCCGAAAAGAGGCACTTACTAGAGATTAAAAAGGGCACTAATGAGAATGGAAAATAGACACTTATTGCAAAGGAGACTGGGAACTTGTCTGGGAAAAGAGGTACGTGCCAAAATAAAAGGGGCACATATCAGAGATGGAAAGGAGAGGGGGCACTTTTAAAATTAACAGGGGCACATATCAAAGTAATATATTTCAGAAGACATTTATGTTGAGCAATATCACAAAGGACAAATATTCACGATGGTTAGAGTTATTTGATGAACATTTTTTGTTAAAAATCGAAGGCTGTATGTTGTGCCCAGACATGCAACCTCCACTTCTACTTCTACTTCTACGACGATATTCAGCAGGATCCATAAGTCAGGATGTAGTGCTGAGGAATAAACTGTCTAGTTCTTGGTCTAGATGCTGGGTGGAAGCGCTCCCTTGAAGCCCTCCAGTGAAGTAGCGTCAAGGGTGATCTTCGAAAGTGCATTCCACGCAGTTACTGTCCGAGGGAAAAATGAGTTCTGGTAGAGTTGGGTGCGGGATGGGATAGCCAGCAACTTCTTTGAGTGATACTGTCGTGTGTTGCTGGCAATCATGGGTGCTGTGTAATGGTGTGCATTGATGGCTACTGTGTTGTTTTGGATCTTGTACATGAGGTGGAGGCTTGCAGCATTTCTTCTCCTCTCCAGGCTCTCCCATTTCAGATGTTGAATCATGACCGAGACACTGGCCATACGACGATATCTCTGGAGGGTGAATCTTGCTGCTCACCTTTGTACTGCCTCGATTTGGGATATATGCTTTTTTTGTGAGGGTTCCAGATCGAGCAACAGTTTTCCAGATGAGGTCTAACAATTTAAGAGAGAAATTAATAGGCTTGTTGGCGGGTCTTTTGTGAGGTTTTGCGGAGATTTCCAATCATATAGATATAGTCTAGATCTAGTATGGGCTGTCGGTTTCGCTCAAAAAGCCAAAGGGAACTCACTTGATGAAAATACTGTTCTCGTTGACATTCAAATTATATTGAAAACAAATGAACCTCAGTTTTGTTTAAACCGCCGCGCCGCTATAAATGCTAAATCGGGTAGGCCTACTGTCCACACCTCTAAAGGACACATCTCTTTTGATTCAATGAATGGAGAATCAGTGACCATCCTTTGATATTTATTTTAAAGATGGATGACCGTGATCGACCTGTATCAACCTTTGAGGTTGGTGAGAAGAAAGCACTGCCGCCTATTCCTGGGACTCCACCCAATCAAGGAAAAGGACGCCATCATCGTGACAACGTTGAACAGGTGAATAGATCCTTTCCTCTATATCATCTTAATGACTTAATTACTACAGTCATATAGTTTACCGGCACAACATTGCCAGGTGATGTAGCCTCTTGCCTGAATATAAGATTTCTATTGTTTTAAAACTCATTCCGTCATCAATATCATAACAACAAAAAATGCAAACACGTATTCGGGAACCTAGTTGCCCAAATAATTATAAGAGGTGATGTTTTTCCTAATAATGGTAATCTAGTAATAATATTCTGTATATAGGGGACCTCGGGAGCTACTCCTATTACGTATGAGTATGTTTCTGCTAAGATTGCATCAATAAGTACTACTCTGACAACAGAATGCCTGTTGGTACATTATTCAGGTATAACAAATAGTTAACAAATTAATTAATAATTAAGGGGCTTAAGGGATGTAAGTACTTTTAAATATCGACAACTTTCTCAGACACCGATGATAACAGCCACGAACATCACGAAAACATGATCATGTTCTATTATAACGACCTTCCTAAAACTTTAAAAGCATCCTATCATTATGAGACAACAACGTTTGTTGTAGTACGAACCCGTAACACAATCAAATCTAAACTGCAACACCTTTATGCCTTTTATTCTAGAATACTCAAACCGAGCTGAACGAGTTCAATGTGATCGGATCAACTAATAATATCACAGAGAGAAGGAATTACCGTGGCAATCGGAAAGACGCTCCTATCCCGTTGACAGGAAGGACGTCACCTCGAAAGAAGAGGACTGGCATCAGGGTTGAAGCCAACAAGAAAAAGCACCATTGTGGCTTGTTCGACGCGCCACCCCCCAAACCTGAACGCAGGCAACCAACGGGATTCTTCCACCCGGGCTTGGCCAGTATCCAAGGAAAAAGCAATACATTCCAGCCTCATGTTTCCAGAGTTCAACAGAACGCGAAGAAGTTCATGGCGAAGGAGACAAGGTACAAGGTCGATACCGTACATGGACACCGTGTACCAGTGGCCCAAGAGCTTGATTTCAACCCAGGTCATGTACAGAAGCAAAAGTGGAAACGTCGACTGTCCCCAATCAAACGCAGGTAGAGCAAAGTGACGAACATGTCGAGAAGGACGGCGAAGTACAAACAGAGCAGGAAACTCACAAAAGTGAAGAATATGATGAAGGCGTCCCAAAAGAAAATTGTGAAAAGCCTTTTGATGAATCAGAAGATATTCTAAGAGGAAATTGCGAAGATATTCTTGATGACTCAGAAGATAAGCAGCCTGCAAATACAGAACGGGATGAGATGAAGGTTACCAGTGAACCGAAAGCAGTCGAGGACATTGTCGATGTGCACACGAATGAGAACGTCGTTGAAGATTTACAAGTTGCAGGCAGCCTTGAAGAGGGTGCATTGGCGTCCCATATTCCGAAGAAGAACCTGACAGAATGATAATTTCTCGGCAAGATGGTGATGATTGTACAACAACTCTTTCTGAATCTAAAGATTATGATAATGCAAGGGGAGAATTCAGGTCCAATTCGGCAAAGTCAATTAGAGTCATCGATACAGTTCGAAAACTAGTGGAATCCATGATTTCTCGCACTTCACCTGAATTGTGCGGTAACGCCGAATTGAATTCTTCCTTATTTCCTTCTTTAAATGATTCATCTTCTGACAACAAGCAACTCGTCTCCTTTGGAATTCAGACGGATTGGAAGGAGCTAGAATCTGTAGATGGGACGAACATCTCTCTTCTTGATGATGGTTGTAGTAGCTGCGACAAAAATGGCATGGGAGGGCCATGTATGAACGAAGAGCAATCCACTACACAGAGAGGCTCCAGGTTATGTCCACCACAAACCGAAGAACGCCAACAACTTGGCTACGCCGAAAGTTATTCAAGCGACAAACTTGATGCCGATAGTAGCGATGGGGGAATTCAGAACGCGGATGATAATATGGTTCATGTAACTATGAGTAGAGGAACCATGACTCCAACAAAACAGGGGTGGAAATCACTTGAAGGTACTAACAACCAGGACCAGGAAAGTCCTGTCGGTGATGGACCAACCACTCCGCTAGCAGACCGTCCGTCATCGGTTGCAGACCAGCATATTCTAGAAGTCCCGGGGTTAGGGCGAATGAACATCACAATTCAAGCTCAGCATGCAGTTCAACCTGAGATCAGTGACATGGACGTGGTGACTGAATCTTTATCAGGCAGTGACGAACAGCTTCAAGGGATTCTGATAGGGGATAGCGGTGGGGATTACACTTCGGCGGCTCGTACAGAGTCTAGGGTGTCAATCTACACGTTCGGTCACGGTGATCAGCGAATGGCGATTTCATCATCATCGCTCGGCAACATTCCTTCGCCGCAACAGGATGTCGGCAACATACTGGCTAGTGAGTCAAGATCGAGAGAAATTAGTCGGGCATCTAATGTTGATCCTGCGGAAGAGAGAGCCCAAGATTCCCGACCCTCAAGTAGGGATCGGCCACAGACGGTCCAAGAACTGATCGACAACTTGATTGCCGAGCGTCTCAATGTTGTACCTGAACGGGAACCTCAGAAAAATGAATCGGTTACGGTTGAGGAGAGTGAGAGTCCGCTGGCTGACGTAATCACGTTATTCCCCTCGAAAAATGACGAAGTTACAGATCATCAGTGCGATGTGTTTGGAAATGACACCCATTCGAACGGAAATCACCCCGAGGTACTTCTCACTGAAGAAACGCTTTCTACGAATTCACAATCTGATGACGTCGAAACTGTAACCCCGACGGGAGAAACGAATTTGTCAATAAAATCGGATGAGTGTTTTGAGAGGGAGAGTGGAAAGAGCATACGGAAATGCGCAGATCATGAGCTGCAGGATGCATTTCTTGCAATGGACGATGCCGTCGCTGCCGCCAAGTTGATCATCCGCTACCTGGGTCGAACTGACGCACGGTTGAGGTCGGCCTTGCATAGGACAGGACCGTGTGACGACGACGTCGTCAACTGCCCCGCTGCCGAGCGCGTAGCCCAAGAAGCACATGCGTTCGCTGTCAGAACGCAGTCCGTGTTCATGACGTACTTCAGGCTGGCAGAGGCGGAGGACACTTTCAGGGAATTTGTCTTGAAGGAAATACCCGGGACAGAGAAGGAAAGAAGACAACTCAGAAGATGGTGGACTATCAACCAACCCGAGATTGATGATATTCCCGACGACAACAGTGACATACTAGAAGGCGAGCCTGAACCGTAGATGGCGGATCAGAATTGACACTTTTAATGGTTTAGTAAACTTTCGAGTTATTTATCACCAGAAGTTCATATGAAAGAAATGAAGTATCCATATAGAATTGATGCGTACGCAGGATTTTTTCAAGGGGGGGGTTTTAAAATATTTTGCTCCCGAAAATTTGAAAATCGCGCCGGCCG